ATGAAAAGATGGAATAAAAACAAGTCAAAGTTAAATAGAAATGAAATACTTTTTGCATTTTTAAAAAGAAAGGAGTAGAAAGTACAGATAATTGAATTAAAATGTAAGAAGTAGAAGTAAAAAGTAGTCTGAAAAATAATTATTCCACTAAAGTACAAACAACCAAAATTACTACTTAAGTAAAGTAACAAAGTATTTGTACTTAGTTACTTGACACCTCTGCATTTGGGTGAAGCTTCAGACAGTGAAGAGGCGAGGAGACCCCAAATTCGACTGATTGGATTTTTTTCTTTTTTGCCACTTCAGAGATACAATAAAGACATTAAAAGCAGCAGGTAATTCAAGGCTGTTTTGTCCTAAAACAACTGGGTTTATCTAGTGGTTCCCAGCGGTATGGCCTTGATTGGCCATGCTTATCTGAAACTCCCCAAGGATGATATGTCAACAAGGACTTGATTCCCTCCCAACCCCATCACCCGTTTTGAACCCGGCCCATGAACCCAAGGCCGAGGAGGAGGAGACTCTGAACTCTAGTTAGCCGAGACAATAACATCATGTGACTCTGGACTCTGGGGAGCCTATGGTCGGGTCCTAGGACGGAGACCCACCTTCAACGTAACCGACTCCACTGATTCCCGCCCCAACTCATGTGTTATCTGACCTAAGCTCCCTCCCTGCCCCAGGCTGTCTTGCTCTATCGCGAGTCATTTTTTGTGCATGTGATCCTATGTTTCTGATGTAAACATAGGATCAGAGCAATTTTTTTAAACTCAGCTTTCCTATTGTGTGTTTCCAGCCCTTAAAAAGGTCAACGTGGTTGCCACATGACCTGTTCACCTGTTCCCCCATGTTTTGTCATGTGTTTTTTCTTGAATGGGTTTTCTTGAACATAATTTCATTCTGCTCTGTACAATGACAATAAAGGCACCATCATTATTATCATCATCAATTTGTATAAAATAGCAATGGACAAGTTTGAAATAGAACTATGGCTAGGTAGAAATATGGTTTGACCAATTGTGTTTTAGCTTATCATTTCAGCAGTCGTCTCTGGTGTACATTTGTCAAAGTATTTTTTCTCAACACCATTATTTGAACTTTTTGTTGTGGTTCCATTTTTCAGGTAGCGAGATGGGAGCATCACACCCGGGTTCTCTCCCGGCTCTTTGGTAGCCCCTACTTCGCCTGCTACAGTCTGGGCTTCGTCATCGTTCTCCTCAATGTTTTCCGCAGCCACAGGTAAAAGCACACAATTCTTTTTTTTTCTTTTTCTTGCCTCTAGCCACAAAAATTCAGGCAATAACATTTGTTTGTCTGTTCACCAATATGTCATGAACTACTGAATGTACTGGATGTTTTGTTTTACAAATTATACAACTGGGAACCTTTTGAAGTCAACCCAACTCAGGAAAGGTTGTTGCAGCTAGAATCTGATGTGGTAGTAGCTGTGTCTTCCCCAATACATACTAATCCATTGATTGAATGTTGTCTGAAATATCTTTGGTCCACAAGCTTTTTCAACAACCTTCTGTAAAATCAATATGGGGGAAACAGTCTAAATCACATCAAAATGCATTAAAACCAAATCAACACTTATGTGTTGCTGCCACTCCAAATATTAGCTCAAAATCTGTGATATTAAGTGTTGTAGGGGTTAACCTACACCTTCATATAATAAAACTATAAGGAAATTCACYAGTTCTTCTGTTTAAGAAAGAACACCTTCTCTGTGCAAATATGAGAGAAACCACACAATAAGTGAACATACTCAGGAATTTAAGTTGATCTAAAATAAATGATTTTTATTTACAGAGTCAAATAAATTACTAATGTACAGCTTATTGTGGACAATCAAATTTCTTATAAAAAAGTTGAAACCAACAACAATTAACACACATCCAAGTTAATTATCATTACTTGGACAACTTTATCAGGAACGACAAAGAAATTAACAAGATATTTGTTTAAGACTTAAGCATAAATAACCATACATGTTTCAAAGTAAAACATAGTGGACTAAACCATAGTGATCAACTTAGTTAAATTGAAAAATAAAACAGAAAAATACATAATCACCTTACTGTCAAATAACAGTTGATTAAAACACTTA